TCACCCCAGCTGTCAGGAGCCAACAGCCAATGGTCTTCAAATGTTTTTGACCATGAAGCCCATTAGTAAAAAGTTGTGATCATGCACACTCAAAGGACACAGATGTATTTTAGTGCATATATTACATAACAGAACAGTGATTTGATTAAGTAAGAAAGCATGCACAAAAGGTAAAACAAGTCTGGGAGACCGTGGCAGGAGAATCACTTGATCCCAGGAGTTTGAGACCAACCTGGGCAACATAGTGAGACCCCATCTCTACAAAAAAAAAAAAATCCTTAAATTAGCCAAGCGTGGTGGCACATGCCTGTAGTTCCACCCGCCTGGGAGGCTGAGGTGGGAGGATCACTCGAGCCCAGGAGTTTCAGGCTGTAGTGAGCCATGATCACACCACTGCACTCCAGCCTGGGCGATAGAGTGAGACTCTGTCTACAAAAAAAAAAGTAAAATATGTGAAAGGATAAAATTCAAAATCACTAGACTCAGATGCCCCAATCTCCTCCCCCTCGAATGGATCAGCTTGTGTGAGGCTGCTCTGGCGGGCCCTGGCCTCAGGTGGGAGGTTAAGGGAGTGGAGGCCTGGAGGCCTCAGTCAAGGAAAGGCAGCAAGGGGGTGCCGAGCTCAGGGATGTGGAAAGCCCAGAACACGCAGTTTTGGGAGCCTGTTGGAAGCGCTGTCTTGGGACTTTCTCCTGCCCTCTCCCTCTGTGCTGCCTCAGGGATGGGTGGAAGACAGTAGGCAGTGGCTTTGCCCCTGGGCACAGCCTCAGAGAGCCCCCAGTCCCTGTGCCAGCTGCACCTGTCTCCTGACCACTGCGCTCTCCCCAGAGCCTCCAGCCATCGCCCCCAGCCCCTCCAACCTGACCCTGACCGCCCACACCCCAGCCTCGCTGCCCTGCGAGGCCAGCGGCTCCCCTAAGCCCCTGGTGGTCTGGTGGAAGGACGGACAGAAGCTGGACTTCCGCCTGCAGCAGGGCGCCTACCGGTAACGAGCTGGACCTTGCGGTGACTTCCTGAGACACACGGGGTGGGGAGGCATTCTCGTCTCATGGGGGCATGGGGCAGGGACGGGACAGGGTGTGCTCAGGTCTCACGGGAGTCAGGACCAGAACTTGTGTCTCAACTTTGGGGATCAGAAAGTCTTCACACTGAGATAGGGGTGAGGGCACTGGGGACATACAGCTAAGCAGAGACATCTGGGCTTTATTTATATCCACCAGAGTCACTCGTTGTCTAAAAACAAAACATGAACTGGGCGTGGTAGCTCATACCTGTAATCCCAGCACTTTGGGAGGCTGAGGTGGGAGGATTACTTGAGGCTAGGAGTTCAAGACCAGACTGGGCAACATAGTGAGACCCCATCTCTACAAAAAAATTTAAAAATTAGCGGAGTATGGTGTTGGGTGTCTGAGGCTGAGATGGGAGGATCCCCTGAACCTGGGAGGTTGAGGCTGCAGTGAGCTGTGATTGTGTCAGTGCACTCCAGCCTGGGCAACAGAACCAGACTCTGTCTCAAAAAAAAAGAAAAAAAAAAGTCAATTTTTAAAAATTGGAAAACCAATGTAACAAACCTAGACTTAGTGAAAATGAAGTCAGTAACTAAGACTCTAAGCCGCTTTAAAGTCGTGGTTCTTACAGAAGTTATCGTAGATGGTTATTGTAACAAATGTGAAGGGTTACAGAGAAACAGGGATGAAAATGAAAATCACTCACAAATCCGCCAGCTAGACCTTTGGGGTAGAAACTTCTAGAAGCCATTTCTAGAGTCAGGGCTGGAGGTCAGGTACAGGAAATGGGCATGAGACCCCCACAGCCAGA